GGGAAGTATATTTGTAACGACGTTACAAGTATATTTCCCATTTCTGGTTCAAGAAAAGAGGATCGCCGATTACAATCGGTGAGGGTAGTGGAGAGCCTCTATAGTCGATTCAATTTTGTTTGTTTAAATTGTTGAACTTTAAATTATTACACTTAAAAATATTTTATGTTTAGTTAGTGGCTTGATAATTTCAAACATATTCAGTAAAAACGAAGCAATTTACATAAAAATATTATGTTGCTTATACAATATAATAGCTGTAATGTTATAATGTTATAATTTTGTAAAATTGTTTTATTTAATGTTTTATGAATCTATATTATATTATAATAATATTTCTATTATATTGTATTCTATACATTGCATTAAATTATTCATTCTTAATACATTTTTTCTATTAGGTGTTGGAATTAATTCGTAGCGTTTTTAATGAAAGAATGTTATTTATTTCACATATGAGCATTAAAAAATACATTAATGAAAGTACTTCCCATCACTTGTAAAACGCTACGAATTAATTCCAACACCTAATATATTATATTTCGAAAAAATAAAAAAAATTAAATGTAAAAGAATAAAAAATAAAAAATTCTATGCAACAAAAAGGTGATGACTAATTAAAATCAGCGAAGATGGTGAATGGCCTCTATTTAATAATTCGTTTTTACTGAATTTTATTTGAATATTTTAATTGAAAGTATATAATTTTAGGAAAATTTCAAATTTAGTCAAGGTTTCTCTCATAATAAGATCATAATTACATTTGATTAAATACATTTGATCATAATTACATTTAAAATTAAAGCTGTTTATATGTTATTCTATAATAAATGTTAAGCAATGGCATTATTCTTGATTTTTTTCATTTTTACATTCTTTTCATAAAAACACTGTTAAATAGAAAATTTTGGCTGTTTTTATATTACATTTTGAACATTTTTTAAAATTATTTTAATTTTTAATTATTATTTATATAATGTATTATTATATTTGATTATATTTTGTAGCACGGAATAAAATATAATAATGAAACAAAATCGATCTCAGATGTGTTACCCACCGGAAATATCCATGACTACGTAGTTCTGTGTGCATATTTTGTACACATTGAGGCGTCAGTAGATTCTATTTGTAACGCAGATATGTCCTCTTTCAAATTTCTCTCTGTTAATATCTCGATTTAAAAAATATCCTATTAAACTGGAAAAATATGTATATTTTTTATATACTTGTGAAAAGTTTAAATTTCATAGTTTATAATTTATATTATACTTTTTTCTTTCTAAAATTTTAATTAAAATAATTTATATAAGTGAGTTTTTTTTTTATTTATTATTCGTCATGATTATCAATTCGCAAAATTTAGTATATCTAATAATTTAATTTTTCATTCTCAATTTGTAATTAAAAATATTTTTTTTACAATTACTTATATATTTATCAATTGCAATTTTCAACTTTTTTTATACAATTTCTTCGACAGATGTTATCTAATTAATTCATTTTTAATTTCTCGAAAACGAATTAAAAATATAATTTCTGTTCCCAAAAAACGCATGATCCTTCTAAGAAGAAATATAGCTTTTTGACATTTAATATATTATATACCTTATCTTTTGGAGCTTAACATTCATTCAATCGTTCGAAGGTAGTGACGCAACACATTTATTATGGTGGGAGTCGAGATTACATAAACGGCACGTATAATCACGCTATTACGGTCTTCCACGTCAAGCTAAGTAAAGTCATGTTGCGTTGTGTTGTGTGGAGGAATGTAGCTGTAATCTAACCCGACTTCAGATCGTACAGCCCTTCCTCTAGAACTCGAAATATCCTAA